ATTTAACTATAGTTAAAAAAAAACTAGTTTTTTACTAGTTGAATTCATATCCAATCACCCCCTTAGTACTATAATTCACACTGTGATGGGACTTGGTACATTATTGCACTCAATGTGGTGATATTAGGATAAGTGGACGAATTGGCAAAGTAAATACTGTAATTAATAATTGTCATTATCTGAACTTACACCCAAGAGAATAAAAACTAACTAAAGGCAAAACCAAATAAAATTAAATGTGAGGTTGTTGATAATTGTGGTCCCGTTTATGTAGTTACTATAAATTATAAGAACATACGAGGCACAAATATAATGCACATTAACTACAAAAAAATACTATTTAGACATAATAATTTATATGATCTTTTGGTATATTATATGAGGGTAATTTTTTCTTAATTTAATTGTTTGATTTGGAAACTCGTGGCCTACCGGGCACTATCAGGCCCAGAGTTCATTTTGCAACAAAACTTTTAATAGGAGATGTTGCTGGCCCAACACGCTCTGTTTTCCCCTTAACAAGGCCAATTAGGAATGATGGAATACAGCTAGGCCCAGTAAATGGCCCCAACCCAAGGATAGTATATTCAGGGACTGACAAATAACAATTGATAAAATGCCTAATGAAACTTGAAGGGTGATCATTTGGAATTGAAACTGTTGTTTATATAAAAATTGAACATGAAGTTTAATTTTTAGTTAATAGATAAAAAAAGTATAAAAAGCTCGGTCTTAAGATATATTCAGCCCGATACTAAAACTTTTCCTTTATATTAAGTAGGTTACATAAATGAATTAAGATCTACATATTTGCTTACATTCTGTATCATATTTTTGCCATTAAGACAACATTTTAATTATAAAAAATATTCTAGTTCAATTTGGCCTGGACTATATTTAGACATGCATGTGGTGGGACAATTTATGAAAATGAAATATACAGAATGTTTACAATCTATCATGTCAAGGATTTTGATTTTGTCTTTGATAAGCTGAGGAAAGGTCAATGATTGTTGGGGTTATTTTGTTAGCTGCCTGCAGAGTCCCACGTCACATAGGACCTCATGAAATTGACCACATTACCAAGTCCATTTATGTATTGTCCAATTAATGGTTAGCATAAATAAATAAATAAGTATTACTGAAATTATCGGCTTTGAATTTCTATTAGCTATAGCCGATAACATATACGAAATTGAATTAGTTGTTTGTGAATGAGTATCTAGTAAATAATATTACCTCCTATTCTTTTTAAATGTCATTTTGATTTTATCAACTATTAACCAAATAAATGATGTTTTAGATCTTTTATACCATTATTACCCTCATTTAGCTAATAAATACACTATACCTTTTCATATTCACTCTTCATTTTTTCTCAAAATATCAATCTCTATTTTCATTAAGAAGGGTTATTATTGACCAAAAAAAGATTCTTAATTACCGGGCAACATCTTAAAACGACACTTATTATGAATAGGAGGGAGTAGTTCGTATCTATTTTGAAAATTTAACGTTGTTTTATTTTTATGGAACATCTCTTTCGGAATGTTGCTTTATTGAACTTTATCAGAGTTAGCGTTTAAAGATAAGTTTTTTACGAAACAAGTTAGTTAATAAATTTGACTTGTCAAACCTCTAAATTAAATCTAGGTTATGTTTGGTAAAACTAGCTGATAGCTTATAAGTAATTTTCGAGCTTATAGCTTATAGCTTATGATTTATAACTGAAAAGTTAGCTTATATGATAAAAGTATTTGGTAAAATTAACTGATAAGCTAGCTAAAATAAAAATTTCAAGGAACTTAATTTTGAAAAGCTACCCAAACAAACTTAAAAGATAAGCTCAAGTTTTTTAAAAAACTCGTCATACCAAATAAAACTTATTTGAATAGATAAAGCTTATAAGCTAACCAAATAAGTTATAAGCTAGCTTATTTGTAAATTAATCAAATCAGCTATAAACTAGATTATTTGATTACCAAACATAGCCAAAAAATAGCGTACTCCGTCTAACATTTTTTTTTTTTTNACTCCGTCTAACATTCAAACGAGGCTATAGTCGATCACAATTTTGTTAGTTGCTCCTCACGCCCAATCTCTACTCGACACGTGTCTAATATTGGCAATTTTTTATTTTCTCTTACATGTGATACTATATTTATGGACAATACTTAATTAGAGGAAGTGAGATTAATATTGTTTGAAATAAAGAAAGGGTGGATCATAACCAACCACATAAATCCAAGAAAAGAAGAAATAGAATGGGACCATTTTCATATAGGGATATGAATGGGCCAATTTTTCATATAAATGTCACAAGTCATTTTATGCATATTTTTTCAAGACATATTTATGTAATTGTAACCAAAAGGGACCAACAAATCAAATCTACAAAATAAAGATCCTTCTCAAATTGAGTTATGTGATGAAATTCAGATTTGAGTATCTGCTTGGTGTAAATTCATATGGTCTGTGCACAAAGATGCAGACCTTTTAAAGTCTATATTAGACTCTCTCCTAATACTAAATATTAAAAATTTCAAGATGTTATAAAGCCCTAAAAGAAGTTAACATAAATCATAATATACAAATAAAATAGTAATCCATTAAACGGTGCTCATGAGTAGGGACGAAACCAGAAATTAGTTGAGAGGAGCCAAAAGACATGACATAATTTGTAAAAAATAACAAAAATGCATAAAATAAGTTAGCTTATAATTACAATTATTCACGGCGATATGACATGGCCTGACATCGCTGCATAATAGTTTCATTACTAATTTTATCAAAAATATCTTTTTCAATGTACGGAACCATACAAGCGTTGAGCCAATCATCTTCCATTCGGTAGCGTAGTCAATTTTTTATGATCTTCATTGCAGAAAATGCTCTCTCCACAGTAGCAGTAGCAACCGGCAATGTCAACACTAAAGTAATAAGCATATAAACAAAATTAAGATTTAAACATTTAATTGTCTATTAAGTATTAATTATTTAACTTAATTTATTATTTTATTTAACAAGTTGGCCTACCAAGTGACTTTTGAAAACAAAAAATTTGGGGCTGGGGGTGCAAAAATAAATTTTAGAGGGCGGCAAATTAAATTTTTAATATTAATAGCAAAAAAAAATAAAATAAAATAAAAAAATTGAGGGGTGGCAATTGCCCCCCTACTAATATATGTAGAATCTCCCTTGCTCATAAGTTGTTAAACAAACTGAATGATTCGTTAAGTCTTAAGTTCGACTTACTAATTTTGATAAACGAGCCAAATTTAAACTCGTTTTTCAGTTCGACTAAAATGTACGATGACAAGTCGACCTGTCTAATCTTTAAGTTGTTATAAATTAAAATTTATAATTTATCATTGTCATCATATATCATTCTATGTCTAAGAATCCATGAATTGAAACATTATACTAAAGTTGTTTTGTACACTTCCCTTAAAAAGAGAACGTGGTTAATTAACCCTAATTAATTTCTTGTGGTTTATCAAAGATAACGATTCCCTTAATGACTAATGAAATGGTCCCCAAAAAAGTCATCAAAAGAGAAAAATGAAATAAAAGCCATTTGCAAAGTATTCTTAGTGTAGCTAGGCATCTTGTTTGTTGTCAAATTAAGTGCTAAGAGCTAATTGTTGTGGTGCTAATTTAATATACTTTGGGTAGCTAGGTCTTATCAAACATAGAAGAAAATGACATCCACACAAGCATATCTGTAAAATTTATTTTCTCCATTTTAGATTAAATCAAGAAAATTAATTTGGAGATAATAGAGATATGATAGCTGTCATAATTAGGACAAATTAAGATAAAGGCACTATCAATTTTTTTTTTTTCTTTTCTAACAATATATTTCCTAATAATCTTGAATAACGCTTTCTTCATGGCAGAAACTATTTTCCCTTGTCTAACTTACTTTGCATGAGAATTAAGCAAAAATAGATGTTTGTGGTGGTTACTTTTATGGAGAAGGTGCATATTAAGCTGTTAATGGAAACTGAAATATTATTGCATTTTAATTTATGAGAGAATTTGATTGCTTTTAATTTTTTTATTTGATTGCAAGTGAATCTTAATTCGATATTTAATTTTCATATCCAAATTGCACAAAGAACGCATATTGATGATAATAAACCTTACTTATTACTTGATTACCAAGTAATAAACTAATACCTATCGAATTACTAATATAAATAAAATACAAAACCCTAGTAAGCATCGATCAGCATATTTAAATTGAGTTTTAATTTTTTTCCTTGGTCATAATTGCTGACCGGAAAATTTGTTTGCTGTCAATTTGTGATATTAATTTAAGCCAAAATATTCAAGATATTTAAAACCGTTTTATGTGAGGTGCCCTTTAAATTTCTTCTTTTTGCAAATTTGGTTATGTATAAGACTTACAAAGTTGTCAACTTCATGCTTATGTTGTGGCTGTCACTAACCAAAAAGAAAATTGTTCAAAGTTGGATTAACGTTAAAAGTGTGATCGGAAAATCAGATTAGGCACTTGACATGTGAATTTACAATCATCAAAATGCTGTCCAAATAAACATAAAATAAAAATTTATAGAAATATTATTTTTTAATAAAAGAAGAAGTGTAGTAAGAGAGGTATATTATTTTTTTTATATTATCATCTATATTTATATATTTAGATATATACAAAAAAAAATTATACTATTCGGCTTATCTGATGTAGTTATCGAGTTTTCTGATCGCTAGATGCATACACTCACCCATATTCATATACTGTCTGTTGATCAAGTGGTGAAAAATTGAATGATTATATATACTACTAGTGAAATTAGCCCAAAAATGACAATTCAAGTAATTTTCTCAAACAATGAAAATTTTTCCTTTTTCTTTTTCCTATGCACGTAGAATTTCATATATGGTACCATAACAAGCAGAAAACAGTAATGAAATTAATAATCTATATCATTCCACATGATGAGAAAAGTTAAATTTTCCATAATATAATTTGCTAGCAAAGATCATCACAATATAAGTATTTTCTATAAGCTCTCGTATACAATGAGCAAAGGTACAGAGTATATATGATTGATACATCCATATATACCATTTGAAAGCTAAAATCCAAAAGAAGAGTTAAACACATACTCCCTCATCTATCCTAAAAACCCTTAAATCTAAAGAAAATTCATGTATCAATACTCTTCCTATACCATCAAAAACCTCAAATATCCCCATATCCATCAAGAAATAAAAACACAATCCTTATAATTCCCCTTAGAAAAGATAAATTATAAAAAATCCTATTCTCAAACATTACACCATCTCGTATTCCAAGTGTATTCAGAACACTCGGAATACGAGATGGAACACCAATTAATAACAAACCGATCGTCAGTTGTACCAATTCATGCCCGAAACCTGGTACGGTTGGCGAAGGACCCCGTCCCCGATATTATTCTCGATCACCACTTGCGACGGCAAACTCGAGCCTTGAGGGAGTTGACTTAGAATGTCAACCATTGAACCGTTCGCGCAATTTTCCGCGGTAATTAACCTCTTTGTCCGTGGAGAAATCGAATTCCCGTTTTCATCCCCTTCCCAATACAAATTATGAAGCGTCCGCTTGCCGGCTAGGGCGGTGGGGTCCGCGGACATGAAGGGGAATTGCAAAGACGGCGGTTGTGCCTTTGCGCCCGACGAGCACAAATGGACGTTAGCTTCGTTGCCCATCATCCCTTGTTGGTCGTAAAAATTGTGCTCGGTTTCTAGAAACGGGCCGTAGATCGACGATGGCTTGAGACCCGGGATTGAACCGAGACCCGCCACATCGCTCGTCTCGTGATCCAACGGCCTTTGCGCCGTGTTGTTCTTCTTGTATATCCGGCACAAAACCCAATCATCCAGCTAAACAAACAAACAAACAAACAAATACAAAATCGACAATCAATTACATATGATTGAATAATATTAACTAGTCAATATTAGAATCAGTTCTCATACACAAATTCTTACGTGAGACAGACTAACCGTTAAACGGGTCGACCCGTCATACTATCTGAACAAATTTGCATAGTTATACTTATCAATCCTCATACTTCTATTTATCAAGCAAAACAAACAAACAAATACAACATCAAACAATCAATCACATAAGATTGAATAATATTAACTAGTAAATATTAGAATCAATTCTCAAACACAAATCACAAACTAACCGTCAGCGAGGCGACCCATCATACTATATACTTATCACATTTGTATATAAAAAAATATTATGTCGACCTAACACAAGACCAACCAATTTAAGTATGATAAACTGGAATAAAAGGCGGTGATCTAATAATAGATTGACGATTTTACCCTTAGCGAGCCCTTTTTGGCGGTGTCATAGCCCGGGGGCTTATTGGTTTGGGCCTTGTGGTCCGCGAGCCTGTACTCATGCATGATCCAATTGGTCTTGATGCCTTTGGGCGGCTTGCCACCGTAGAAAACCAGGGCCTTCTTGACACCGACCTTTTGGGTCCCGCCAGCTGTCAGGACGGGCTTGTCAGTGCCCGTGGCCTTCCAATAGCCCGATGTGGCGGCCCGATTGGGCCGGGCCCCGTTTGGGTACTTCCGGTCCCTCGGGCTGAAGAAGTACCACTCTTGCTCTCCGAATATCGCCTTTGCTGCAGACAAAAAAAAAAGAAAAAAGAAAAAATAGTGGTATGTAATTATTTGATCTTAAATATTTGTTCGTACACAATATGATATGATCAATAAATTTGGTTAAATTCAATTGCTAAAATAGTGTAATCATACTCTAAAAATCTACTTAATCCATCTAAATTCAAACAGTACCGAACAAACTTAAAAATTATCACACGGAAAAGACGATGATATATTTAATTATTTCATCTCAATTATTTGTCATGTACAAAATATGATATGATCAGTAAATTTGATGATTAAATTCAATTACTAAACGTAATTGTAACTATTAAAATAATTCAAACNGAAAGACGGTGATATTTAATTATTTGATCTTAATAATTTCTCATACATAATCAATAAATCTGACAGATACTCAGATAAGTGATATTTAGTTATTTGATTATTATTACTATTATTATTACTATTATTGTTATTATTATTATTATTTTACCAGGAAGTTCCCATGGATCGAATTTGTAGAGGTCGACCTCGGCAATAATGGCCACCGGAAGAGGGGCGGCGGCCGCCTTCTTCTTGAGGTAGTGAACGACGAGCTCCTCGTCGGTCGGGTGGAATCGGAAGCCCGGCGGCAGGTGGGGTTTTGGGGGCTCGGCCGACGAGTCCGTGCTTTCCATTTATTATTATTATTATTTTTATTATTCTTTCTATTTGATAATTTTGTGTGGACGATTAATTTATTGAGTGATGATTATGCTGTGGGGAGTTGTACCCTGCAAGCTTTTGGATTTTCGGGATTTATGGGACGAGGAGAAGAAGAGTATGGTACAATACCAAACCACAAAATGGCATAAGGTTAGAAATGTTTTGATTGGGAGTACTTTGGTTGGCTGATCTTTTTTATATACTGTACGAACAATGTGGACAAATATTTTGTATTTGACTACTTTTGTTTTTAGAGTCTTATTTTGTGAAATTTATATTTATATGTATAGAGTAGGCATTTTTTTACATTATATTTTTTAAGAAATTTAGTGAAATTTTTCGTTTCACCTAACTTATCGACCGTATACATCACACTCTTATTATATTAGTTAGATTTTCAGTCATTAGCAAGCAAACTTTTAGGTATGTAAACTTAGGCCTCGTTTACTAGGATTGATGAGATTGGAGAAATTAATCCCCTCATCTTTCCACCTCATCATTTGTATCATGTTTACATTGTAATGCTAATATTTACAAACCATGATAAGATAATCTGATTTTAATTGAAATTACTACTGTATCCTTCTCTTCTCTTCACATTTCTCTTTTGACATACACACATCCGAATAAATCGATGGTATTGCTACCATCACATTTAAAAAACAAAAGCACAATACTTACAATAGATTTTTCTCACAATTGAGAAAAAAAACTAATATTATATTTCATTCCAGAATTTTAAAATAATATGGTATTTAGAGCTAATAAAGGAAATAAACAGCTCGTTAGCTCAACAGGGTTCGTTAAATCTCGAGTTTGAGCTCATTTAGTTAATTGGTCAAATTGAGATTAGCTCATTGATTTATTTATTTTTTTTATGTAATTTTATATAGTTCAACTTCGTTAAGGCCCGAGTATAGATTGCTAATATGAATAATCATGCTACGCTCAAACTTGTTTATCATCCCGTTCATGAAACGAGTTGAACCACATTCTGCTCGACAAAACTCAAACTTAAGCTCAAATATCAGGAGTTCAAATTCGTTTAGGTATCATACTTATGCATGTATATTTTTTTAATGTAAAAAATAATCAAATATTAGATAATTATTTAAGGGACTTATAAGTAAATAAAAAAATGGGAAAATTTCGTACTCCCTCCTATTTTTATTATTTGTCACTCTAGCTTAATTGATCGCTGATCAAATAAATGTCATTTTGCCTATTTTGTTGATATTTTTTAATTTTTAACCCTCCATTTAATACATTTCTTCATATATTATATTCATTGTTTTTTATAACATCCGTTAGATAGGGTTAATATTGACAAGTAAAAAAATTCTTAATTAATGTGTTGCTTCTCAAAACGACAAATAATAAAAATATAAAGGAGTATTTCTTTTATAATTTAGTCAACCTAACACGTATTAAGAGATTAATTAAGAGCCGTAAACACACCCATTTTTTCATTTTTCACCCATACTTATCTTTATGCAGTCACATCCCCATTTTACTTCTTTTGTGGCCTCCTACGTTGAAATGTGGTCCCCACCGCCTCCACCACGTGTTGCCTTCTCATTCGCTCCACATTCACGCGCGTGTCGGTTCATTAATCGCCTATTTTTTTCGGTTCATTCATCCTAATTGCGTCATTAATTATCCTAATTTCGTCATTAATTAACCTGCTGTGATTTCCTAATTATCAGCCCACGGTAAAACATCTGCACCCCTATTTTGCGATGATCTTGGCCGTTGAAGTGGGTATGTATCTAACTACATTTCTACCCCTAGATCATAATTTTCGTACATTGAATTGTATGTGTGTATGAATGTGAACGATACACGTACATAGTAGGCAAACATATATTGAAATACAAT